TGGATGTGTATCCATCAGGCCCCGGTGCCTTATTACTCTCAATGTCATTCAATGCTGCCTTTATTTCAGATTCTAAGATTGTGGTACGAAGTGAATCTTGCTGCTCTTGCGTGATAAGTGGGCCATCTCGGATAACGGCCCTTAGCAGGTTCTCAAAGTGACCAATAAACTCATTCGAGATATCTTCAAGGGAGTTGGTTCGGCATCCATTCTCCTTTATGATTGAGGCAACGAAGTTTTTCTTTGCATTTATTTTGACAATGGCGTGATAGAAGCCTGTGTACTTGTCCCCCTTGATTTGAAAATTGCACTTTGCTTTTTGCTGAAAAAAGTGCTTTTCAGCCTTTGCAAGCTTGAGGGCCTCAACACGAAGGGTTGGCAGTGATGCTTTTATCCCTAAATCATTGGGCTGGTCATAAAGTCGTTGTTGGGCATTTTTAAGGGCCTGTTTTGCATTCTTTGCTCGTGCTGATATCTGAGAGAAGTGCTCGGCATTAAGATTAGTAAGCTTGGATTTCAAAGCCTTCAGGCGTGTGGAAAGTTTGAACTGAGCGGTGCCTCGGACATATTGTTGTCACGCTCGTTGTACCCTCGGCTTAAAATTATCATGACCGGCCCACATGTTGAAAAATCGCCAAGGTGATCCATGTCTCCTGCTGTTCTCAAACAATGAAACGATGCATGGGGAATGGTCAGAAGTACCTGACGCTAAGAAATTTGCATGACTAAAGAAGCAGTCTTGAAGCCATCGGTCGTCCACCATGGCTCGGTCCATCTTGGACCAAATTGTGTAATTAGTCCAAGTATGGAAGAAGCAAGAGGAAGGAATATCTACTAGCTCGAATTTATCACAAAATTTCGCAAAGTCCATAAAGTCCCTATTTGTGACCGGCTCACCATTGATCTTATCTTCGGGTTTGAGAACAGTATTAAAGTCCCCAACATGAGCCAAGGATTGTTGTTGAGTAACTTAGAGTTCTCCAAGTCTCTCCAAAGCTGTTTTTGAGCACCCCTGTTATGTAGACCGTATACAAAGCTAACAAAGAAATGCTTGCTGCAAACCTTGCATGTGAGAGAGGCATAGATGGATTGAGGAAGGATGTCCCAATCACAAGATCCACTTTAGCTGGATCCCAAATGATAGCAAGACTATGGTCCACTACTCCAAAATTATCACAAAAAGTCCATCCCCGTAGACGGCTATGTACAAATCATGAGAGACAATGACAGTCTGTTTTCGTCTCCACATGTCCCAAAACATCAATGTTATTCGTTTGGATGAGTTTGACGACCTCATCCTATTTTAGGGGCGCATTAAGACCCCTTACGTTCCACGAGGCAATAATCATTGTTTGGAGGAGAGGGGGAGCCCCCTTTTTCAAGGTACCTGATTTTGACGGCTCTTTTCTCATTAGGACGATGTTCTTCATCTTCATCGATGCTATTTTCAGTCCCGGTTAGCCTAAGGAGTTTGCTTGGTTAGTAGGTTTTGTCTTCTTGAATACCACTTGGAAGGGTTGCTCATCGTCATTATAGTCATTGTCAAGGTTCAGCCCTTGTTCCTCTACAGGTCCACTGGCTTCCTTAGGCCTTATACCCTCGGTTTTGGTGGTTAGCGAACTCTTGTCCACTGTACCCTCGACTTCGTTTGCTTGGTCATGATCTAGTCCTTGAACCACTACGTGTTCGCTTAATACCACAGTTTTTTTACCCCCAGCTTTGGAAAGTTGTATGTTCTCACATCTTGTCTCCTTCTGAAGGGTCTGGTCTCCAGCCTTCTTGAGCGACTCATTGTCCCCAATGGACTTGCTGGCATGGTCTGAGGACTTTGGTTTTTCAACTTCAATCTTCTGCACATAAGGCTTTTGTCCCTTAGCTTCAGCATTCTTGGCCTTCTTGCTAGAGGCATTTGAGTATTGCTTGGTATGCTCACTTGCATTCTCCAGATGCGGGTTGTTGTCTCATTTGTGTTCCTCGCCCTCCAACAGTTGCTAGTTTGGTGGTCTGCACATGTTTTTTACCCTCGGCTTTCTTTGCTTGATGTCCCTTGTATCTATCACATTTGGAAAGAGAGTGCCCAAGGAATTTACAATAACTGCAATAAGGTGGCACGTATTCGTACTCCACTATCTGCTCAAATTTGTTGTCATCTCTAGTTGTAATGTGGATGCTATGTACCCTCTCTTTCGACTGATCCAGCTCCACTAGGACACGAGCGTAATTACAACGCTAATGTGTTGCCATCAATTTATCGATCGCTTTGGTTCGCCAACGTAAGAGGCGATTTTTTCAAGAGCCTTAGAGTTAAAGCATTCTGCCGGAAGAAGGGGAAGGTTGATCCATACTGGTACTTTTTTTTTGCATCGTCTTCCCAAACTGGAACCATTTGGGAAGCTCTTTGAGTATTAATCCACGCCCGTAAATTTGGTATGACCCTCCATCTAGTACCTTGGCCCTATCTTTGGAGGACTTGAACTTGAAAATGATCCATCCGCTAACATTAGGACATAATCATATTGAACTTCCCAAGCATTGCAAAGCTTCAAAAGTGCCTCTTCGCCCAGATGTCGTTGGGTAAAGTATCCTACGGGACAGAACCCCTATATGAATGCAACATCAGTGATATCGTCATCGTCAAGAAAACACACCATCCTTTTCAGGGGGGTATGGGTTAATTTGAGACCAAGTGATGGCTTTTTATTATCAGCAAAGAGTGCCGCATAAGGCCTCTTAAGAGTGGCAGGATTTCTTTGGGCCTTTTCATCGAACACGTTGTGGGAATTGTGCTTGGCCTGACTCTTATCACTATATATATTTTTTAAAAGTTATATAATTATCGTTAACGAATTGAATATTCGAATTTCGAATCGAATATCTATAAATTTGAATTCAAATTCATTTAACTTTCGAATATAAAACATTATTTGTATTCAAATTTAAATTCTAATCACGAATATCAAATTCGAATATCGAATTGAATAAAAAAAATCGACTTGTTTACAAGTCTAGTGTCAGGTTTCTTTAGAACTTGTTGCTTTACTTTGGTTTGAAAAAAAAAAAGGAAAAAAAAAAGTTAAAAAGTAAAAGGAAATGAGGAGTAATGCGCAATCCCACACGCGCTCGCTTCAACTCAAATCCGGGCCGCCCCGCTTGGATCCGCCGCGTCAAGACCTCCTTCAATGGCCGCCGGAGCTTCTGCTTCATCATCCTTATCATCTTCCTCTCCTTCGCGTTCCCCTTCCCCTTCTTCAGCCATCGATTTCCTCACTCTGTGTCACCGTCTAAAGGTAAGTCTTTGTATGTCCATGTGGACTTTTCTCTTTGAGCGCGTGCTGAAAATGCATGATTTCATTTCAACGTAATGACTGACGGTTGAGGTAAATTTGGAATTCGAATGGGGATTTACGTGTTTTCGTGTTTTCTGACTTGTTAATGGATTGATGTTCCATTAGGTCATTATAAATGGTAGATAAGGTTGATGACATGTAAATATTGATGTAGGCATGGCCATGGCCATTATACAAAGTTGTTCGTAATTTTTCATTCTCAATGTCCGTTTAAGTGTGTGAAAGATATCTTTTTATTTGATAAGGTTGATGTACTTTCAACTATCACATTTGGGGATCTTTAGAAATGGAACAAAAAAAGAAAAAAAAAAGTGAATCATTAGCTGCTATCACATTTGGACCTGGACACATCCATGCTAACTGAACATAGGATGTGCAGCAAATGGTTTGGTTGTGGAAGCTCGACATTTAGGGCTGCACATATTGTTCTTGTGTGCCTGCTGATTCTATCTTTACGTTGCAATTTTTGTGATTCTGTGAAGAGAACTTGTTAAATGACAGGTGCTTATGTTTTCAATGTTAAGTGTCTGCCTCACTTAGTTTTGGTATGTTGAATTTTGCATTCTAATTAGACGACAAAGAGAACGGGATGGGTGCGAAGAGATGTTAAGGAACCAGAATCAATAGCTGATCATATGTATCGGATGGGATTAATGGCTCTCATATCTTCCGACATTCCTGGTGTAAACCGTGAAAAGTGAGTGGCTCTGGTAAATTATTGCTTTACTGTAATCGTATTTTATTTTGGTAAAGCCTGATATTCATTATGAAGGACAAAAAATATTTTGTATTTGAAATTTATCATTTCGAGTTTCAGGTGCATGAAGATCGCTATTGTGCATGACATTGCTGAAGGTGAAGATTGCATTTAATCGTTTGCAATAAGTTACATTTCTTACAGTATATTATCTCTCTCAAAGAAAGGTGCAGCTCTTTTTATCCGTATATATTTATTGCATGAGATGGATATTGTCTAGTCCACAACAATTCTGTTCTTAAATACATTTAATCATATATGGTCTTTCTACAAGCTTTCTCTGCTAATGACTCAACGGAAGCTGAGGAAAAGAAATTAAATAGATTCGGCGTTGAATGTTAAACGCTTTGGCTAGGCATTAGATACATATACCGCCTGTATATAGTACGATTTAGAGTATTGCTTTATTGAAAATAAATTTTCAATACAAATTTCTTGTAACAAGACCAATTTGAACTTCTACTCAAATAAGTACGATGCAGAACTTTCAAATTGAAAGTCTTGATACGCAGCAAACAAGAAGTGCCAACCTATTGTAACATTTATAAGTTCTATAGTTGTTTTGGTTTCTATAGACCCCTTTTTCTACTCCCTAACTTCCTAAATGAGGAGCATTTATCCTATAATGGTATGTTGTTAGCATAGTGAATTATATGATTATTTATTAGCTATATATATATTTATGATTATACTTTAATCTCATCAGATTGATTAATCAAGGTATATTTTTATCTTGTGTATGATCAAAAACCTGATCTGCATTGGTCTTGTTCGGTTCCTGTTTACAGCTATTGTTGGTGACATCACTCCTGATGATGGGATCCCAAAAAAAGAAAAGAGCCGACGTGAGCGAGAAGCATTAAAAAACATGTGTGAATTGCTTGGTGGAGGGGAAAGAGGTATTACATATCTTCATGTTGAACTCTACAATGTGGTCTATCATTTTACCTGTTTGCCTGTTGATATTATACATTTCATGTAGCCAAGGAGATCAGTGATTTGTGGATGGAGTATGAAGAGAATTCTTCATTGGAAGCTAAGCTAGTAAAAGACTTCGATAAGGTACCGCATTACAAAATATACATATAGAATTACTCGAAACTGTAAGGTAGCTCTTGTAGTGGTTTGTGTTGCTCAAAATTGAAAATTCAGAATTTCAAGGATTATTGGTGACTATAGACTCAAATCTAGCAAATTGATGTGTGAATCAAGCTAAGATCTATGAAGCTAACAACCTGGAGCTAACCCGGAATGTGTTCAGAGAGAGAGAGAGAGAGAGAGAGAGAGAGAGAGAGAGAGAGAGAGAGAGAGAAAAAGAGAGGATCAGGAATTAAGAATAAAATGACGCACAAACCCCCCATTCAACTTCCACATATGCTGTTTACACAGAGGTGAAGCACTATGGATTACTTTTACCAATCATCTGCTGGTATTCAGTAGTTGGAGCTAGTTATTAAACTTGGTAATATACCAGGAGTTGGAAGCTGAACCTTCCATTTGGTAGTCATTGCGTATATGGTTTACATTTTGAGTTTTTTTCTTCTTTTTTTTTTGTTACATATTGAAGCTATTAACTTTACATTTTTTTATTTGACAAGTGCTTCGACTAAGTAATTTTCATGTTTTCTCAATCATTTTAATTGTTTCTTTATTCAGGTGGAGATGATACTTCAAGCCTTAGAATATGAAAATGGTAAATAAGCATTGTCCCCTCTGTTTATGTTTGAAACAAAAGGAGAATACTTTTCACATCTCATACAGACAACGAGGTTTAAGGATATTTAATCTCCGTGATTATTGATCGTATTAATAACTTTCTTGGTAATTGACATGCCAACTGATAAACTGAAAATTTTACCCAGGGTAAGTGATAAAATTTATGAGCCTAATGTTGCACCTAATTTTGTTGGTATCTGTCTGGCCAAAACGTTTTGGTCACTTGGAAACTGATACATTATCTTAAATGCAGAACAAGGGAAAAATTTGGAAGAGTTCTTTGAGTCAACTGCAGGTGCACTCTAATACCCCCGTTCTTTAATTTCCACAAAATCATCCATTTTACTTATGCAGTACTATTCATACTAGTTGCTGACCAAACTCAAGTTGTGATGATATTTTTAAGCTTCCAGGAAGGGAATTTGATGTTTGCTAATTTAGTAATTTTGACTGTTTCTTATCACTGACATACGTAATTTGAAGATATTGCAAATGTTCTGAACATTATTGGAATATTGGCACACTCTCACACAAAATTAGAAAAAGACTAGTGTTTCAATTTTAATTAAATTGTTGAATTTTAAATTTGTTAACTTATTCTTATTCATATGTAATTTTCTAATATCTAGTTATATATTTCTTTCTGACATATCTGATTGTTGGATAATATTGTCTTCCTCAAAAGGTCTTAATAACTGTTAAACCGTTTCAACTTTCAAGAGTTATATCATCACGAATGGCAAATGGCAAGCCACTTACATGATACACTAACCTATTGTTTATGCTTCCGGTCACTAATCTGTTGTTATCTAAACAATATGTATAGTCTGCTGCTATAGCGCCGTTAACTGAACTTTTTTTTTTTCCTTATTTATTTCGAGAACTTGAAGATAATTGATTCGTCATTTTCTTCTGGAACTACTGTTTTCCTCTTTAACAGCCGATCATTCTTGTAGGGAAGTTCCAAACTGATCTGGGAAAGGCTTGGGCTTTGGAAGTTGCTTCGAGGCGAAAAAAACAGTGAACTTCTTAACTGAAAAATACCTGAAATTGTCATATAGGAGTTGCTAGTGGGTAAGTGCTCCTTAATGACACTTTATGGAGAAAGGTACAATTCTCGAAACCAACAGTACGATTGTTGCGTTCATCCTTTTATATCTGGCGGGGTCTAGTCGTTCGTAGAAATTCCAAAACATATAATCTATTTTTATTTTCCTTGGGTGTTTTTTTTTTTT